ACTCGGATCAACTAACTAAGCAAATTTCTTTATTTCCCTTCCAACTAAACTTTTCTAGCAAAAACAACATTGTAAATAGTGGAAGTAAATATGATGACAAAAAATCTTTATTCAGTTTCATCACTAGTTTAGAATGACTCAATCGGATTATTAAATGTATGTTATGATCGAATCCTTTAATTTAACATTAAATCATATCCTCATAATAGTCATATGTTCAAATCTTGCACAACAAATAAGGAGTAAATTTCAGGACAAAGCAAGTATTCCCTCCGTTTTTTTTAAGTGTCACATTTGGATTTTTGGCACTATTCATTAAACATACTTTAACCAATGTAAGAAGTAAATAAAACATGAAAATTAATTTCTTTTGTCCTGAAATTGGGTGAATGGCTGAATGCTTGTCGTTTAGAAAGGGAAAAGAGAGTTAAAGATTAAAAAGAAAAGCTGCTAAAATTTTAACCATTTGAAGGCAATTTATGATTGTTGCAATTCTTTTGAGAAAAAAAAATAAATAAAAATAAAAGGGGTATTTAATTTTAATTACAGAAAAATATTGACGTGAAATGATGTAAATGAGATGATTGAGGAGTGAGGAAGGGATTTCATCCTCGAGCCCAGTGTCTTCTGTTTTTATTTTTCACCTTTTTATTTTCTTCCGTTGACTCTCTACAGTAATTCAGACTTCTCCATTCATTTTTTTTTTTATTATTATTATTTTTTAATTTCACCTTTTTTTTGAGAATAAATTTCAACTTTTTTTACTTGCGTTTATTAAAATCCTATACTTTTTTATTTGTTATATTCTAGTTTATTTATTTATTTATTTATTTATGTTGCGGAGCTAATGTAATAAGACAAAATTGCCCGTCAAAAAATAATGTAATAAGACAAAATTGCCTAAAATAGAAAGAGTACGTGGAGTTGAAGATTTGAAGCAAAGTAATACAATGGTATTTAGGGAATTAGGGTCATTAAACTCATTAATAAATTTATACTTTGTAATTAAAATAAAATAAATATTCCATAAAAGTACATCATTTATTCATTAAGTGTTACGGAGTATATACTAATATGTAAAAACGTACTAAAATCGTAATTAAGTTGTGTTCTCGTCACATAATTTAGAAAAAACAAGTTTGATGAATTTGTTAAGGTTTGATTTAAATCATTCCAGCTAGTTTAACTTTTTTTGATTTGGTATAAGGCATTCCAGCTAGTTTAATTGGAATATATATTTTGAGTGTTTGACTAATTTTTTACCTTAGTTTTATGTTGATACTTAATAAATTTAATAAAATATTATGAGTATCAACTTTATGATATATATATCGTCTAATGATCTAATTCCAATACATAATAAATGAAACACTTCGTATTATGAGAATGAATCAACTTTGTGATATGATCTGATCTCATCCAATGATCTAATTTCAATTCAAGATGACTAAGTAATATCAATACGAAATAAGTACCTAAATAAAAATATGTAAGTGAAAATAACATTGTAAAAGGACAAGTAATCTTGATATTGTAAAAGTGACAAATAGTATGGAATTTCGTGGAGAGAAAGACTTCCTATAAATCCAGACCCATTTAAATTAACTTTCATATTCTCTTAAAGCAATAACATAAAATATAATCAAATGCTTAATCCGTAATTAGCAACAACTAATTTTGTCCTCACGATTCATACATCCAACCTAACTTTACCTTGAGTATATATATGTTCTTGAGCTAAATGTACTGTATCTACTGTTAGGCTCTTGCTAGTCATACAAGTGCTAAGTGCATATTATTGAGTGACATACATGCATGCATGTGGACTGTGGTGCAAGTTTATAAACGTCCAAGAAGTATATTATCCAGAAATCTTTCATGATAATTTGATACGTACTCCATACTACAAGGATTAATCATACAAAGTACGCACAAATGGATGATTTATCCCTTGATTAATGACTAGCTCGATTTCTTACAACATTATTTATACAAAACAATATGAACTAATCTAAATACCTTAATACAATATTATTCATACACGGTAACAAAACCTCATATAATGAGTTCATTATCAAAAAACACCATCATTTATATATTATCGTTTACCAGATATCATGCTGATAATATATATGTAGGACAATATAGGTTAATCAAAGATGTACTTCGTAAAAAAGATATAAAGCGAGATGGTAGACGACAATGAAAATGGAGTGTTGTTGGTTGTGGTATCTTTTTAGGGTAATAAACAGCTGGAATAAAAAGGCTGCAATGCATACACATCAACCTTTCAAGTGCAAATTGCAAATTTCCAATCTGAGCATTATGTTGCGTTAATTGAAGAATCCTAAAACCCTTTTTCTTAGTGCTTCTCCTTAGCTTGATTGGGTTCTTTATAACTTTTTCTATCAACTTATATTAAAGTCGTTGTGAGCTGCTCAAATCTTGATCCACCCCCCCAAGACGACCCCCCCTTATCTTCTTTCCTCTTTGGGGTATAAAAGGTAAAAAATTTGGTTACTTAGCTCAGCTATTTTTTGACTGTTTTATTACTTATTCCAATATATATGTACTTACTTTTTTGCATTCCAACTTTTTATTTGCTCTTGATGATTTAGAAATCTTATTATTAAAACAAGCTTTTAAACAAATAAAACCTTGATCATGTACAAATTCTTGCTTTCATGAAAGGGATCATATGTATAAAGTTAAGCTCAATATCATGTAGTGTTAGTTTGTTACATATAACCGACCTTGAGATTCATGATCAGACTAGTATATAATCGGTTCACTATTCTCATATAAAGTTTAGATAGAAGATAATGTCGAGCTTCATTAACCACACTAGTTCGTTGTCTCATAAGTCATAACACCAAGTTATTAATATGAAGTTTACGTAGAAGATAATCCCAATCAACCCTTTTGCTAGCTAAGCGAGGAAATCTCAAGAGATTCATCAATTATACATACTTCTTACATTACATTAACTTCAGCTTGCCCAATACGTCTAACTATATACAAGCTAGTATGTAACATGCATGTAGGAGACAAGAGAAATACACATTTGGTGTAATTACTTAGGATAACATCAACTGCTTAAATTAATCACTATTGGTATAATTACTCTTTGTTCAAGCATTTTTTTTTTTTTTTAATTTTTTTTTTAAAGTTAATGTTAAATATGCACATTGTAAAACAGTAAATTTGAATGAGTTGAATATTAAAAAACGAAAGGAGTATAACAAAACTCTTGAATGAAAGAGCAAAAGTTAACAAGACTCTTGAATGAAAGAGCAAACTTTGTTTTCATGAGATATGCATAAGAAGTATATCTTGAACTTATAACCAAACATAGTATCCATAAATGGAAACTACTGTTCATATGTCTCAGCCCTTTTAACTCCCCCTAAAAATTTTCAACTATTTTCAATTAAACTCTCAGCTACTCATTATTTGGCAGAATTTTGTGATAAAAATGGTCCCCTTATGATAAAAATCATAAAATGGACCCCACATTCCTATCATATACTCTCACATAATATCATAGTGTGGCCCTGTTCATGTGAAGGGGTCCCAATCATCAAGAGAGATACTCAATACAAGCATAAATTAATAAAAAGAAAAATCAAAGGTAAATGCTGAGTATTTCTTACTTTTATTTTATTTATTTATTTACAATTCGGTTTACAAAAATTCTCATATGTGACTGGTTACACCGTGCCATTATGAGATTATGTTATAGAGGTTATTTCTTCAGTATTACACAAGTTACTCGAGCAGTATTATATGAGTTTTTCGGTCAGTGTTACAGAGGCTGCTCGGTCAGTATTATAGGGTTATTATGTTCTTTTACAATCGATCACATGGTTTAGTCGGCCCTCACAAGATGTGTTGATCCGTTTTATATTAGTTGCAATAAAAGAATTTTTGATGTCTCACAATAAATACTCATTTGTTACGATTAATATGAAACGAAGAGTGTATTGAGGTAAATAATTGGGGTATTGGGTTTTACCTGTCACAGTGTATGAATTAAGGTATAAAATAAGTGGGCTCATAAAGCCACATGCCTACACACATGACCTTTACAACAAGAGCCTAATCTAACTCTTAGCTTCTTGTTTTATCATTATCATTTGGTTAAAATGTAAAGGCTCTTTTTATAGGCTTGTTAAAAACTTGTGCTTTTCTACAGGATAATGGAATGACTTCTAGACAAAAAATTGCATTTCGTTTTGGGAATTGTATAATGTGGGGTTGGTAGCTTCGAAGTTGCACCCTAAATCCCAAATTCAGGTCCCCAATTTATTGTTTGACGACAAAAGGTTAGTTGTTTGTATGTATTGCTTTGACAAGCTTCTTGTATTACAGAGTAGTTCGTAAAAGTGTTTAATAAATAGTTGTTACATTCTACTCAGTTTTACCAAGTCCAGTACATATGGTTCATCCAAACACATGTTCGGTGGCCTTGAACTAAAATTGAGACTTCACACATTCTGAATCTCAGGTATCGAGCCCCAAATTCTATGGAAGATAGTGGTTTGAAGTTGCTGTAACTGAAAGATAAGATGATGGTATCGTCGTGTGAAAATACTCTAGGGATATAATTCTAGTACTCCCCTTGTATGATTTTACCCCATATGAGGCTACGACCATACACCTCAAATACAATATGTCAAGGTTCGTCACCATGCAACTGAAAAGAGTAGCAAAATTCTCTACATGCGACACTTTCAGCTCCAAATGGTTTCAGAAGCACGCTGTGCTTCAGCACTTTGTCCAGTGTTTGAAATGTTTCGCCATACATACTTAAAAACCACTCTTTAGAGTTTAGAAATCAAACAAAAATGGAGGTGGTCAAATCTATACTATCTGAACGAAGGATTTGCCGCCATTGAAGGAAGGATACGTACAGCTTACCCCATTTCCCATATAGACTAATTTCAACTGATGAATGAAAAAAATCCTAGGCAGTATATCAGTATATGGTATGACAGAGATGCACAAAAACTTCAACTGTCCATAATCATATAAAGCACGACTAGAAAAAGAATTTCATCAAAAATATACAAAATCTATTAATACATCGCAATATAACAGTAACTATAATATGAAAAAGAATCTATTGTGCCAACAAAAGTTGAAATAAAACCCTTCAAACTTGGTACTAGTAGTAGGTACCTATTTCCTGCCCACAGGACATTAATTCTCGAATCCAAAGAATAGCCTACGAAGAATTTCTCATGGTTTATTGCACAAAATCACAGTCGAGACTCAAAACAACTAAAAACAGAGACAAGGTATGAAAATATGTGACAAAGAGAGAAAAAAATTAGAAAGAAATGTAAAATGGCCGGAAATTTAAGGGAACTAGACTCATTTTCGATTTCCTACCTCTTTTGCAGAAATTGCATCTAGGAAACTCAGTTCTATAATTGTAAAGTAAAACAGCTCCAACCAGAGTGCCAATCGTCCTACCTTACCTGTGCAGCAGAGCAAAGCAAGCCAGATGCATCTGCCCCAATGACTGCGAGATCACAAACAGCACAAATCTGGCCTTCTTGATCTGGCACAAAGCGGGAGCTGCAATAAGGACATGAGATATCCTTCTGACCACGGTAAATAGGTACATAAGTAGCCCCACAAACCACAAACGGATTCCTGAAATCATAATTCAACTGTGTTGAATCTTTCATGTTTCTCTCAGCAGCCACGAGTACTTGTCGTGCAGTCTTTCCATGGTTCTCAATGGTGGGGTTTGTTTCCAAGAGTCGACGGGCAAAATTGGCAGCAGTGCACAGATTTCCTGCTTTGTAGCAATTTGTCATAGCAGTGAGCAATGCAAGTCTTACATGAGGCACCTGAAGGTTACAGTGAGTAAAATAGGCAGCTAATTCCTGCTGTCGAATTGGGTAGTCTTTCAGCTCCCTCCTCTTCAGCTCCATCTTCAAGCCCAGAACATACTCTTTCACTATGGTGATTAATTCTTTGACTTCATCAACCTCTCTCCTTGATTCAACCACAATCAATGGAATTGTGTGAAGAATATTGGTAAAGGTACGCAGTGCGTCACTCAACTTCCCAGCAGTCGTTAATTTGTAACCAGTTCTAAGCTTTTCCTCCAATTGAGAGAAACTAAAAACAAGAGCAGGTGGACTCCTCACATTAGGACTGGATGACTCAGTCCATCCCCTCTCCAGTGCCAAAGAAATCACAGGAGCGGAAGCAAAGGCAAGCAGGTAAGAATGGCTGGCAGAAAATAGATCAATAAACAGTGGTTTCAATGGAGCAAAATTTTTTATGCCCAGTTGCCTGGAAAGCAAACGCATAGCAGTGTCAAAGCTGCCAGCTGCAACACATTCAGCAGCAAGTGATGACCTTTGGGTCCATATCTGGCTCACTGGCATTCCTGGAGCAGGTGCCACAAATACAGAAGAACGCCCGTTGCCTGTCACCTTAGGAGTTTCAACCTCGGGAAGGTCTAGATCATCCTCAATTTCCCATCCTACTTCATCATCATTATTGTCATGTACTCTTTCTTCATCATCTAAATCAGCAATTATATCTCCATTTTGCAAGTCCTCGACAATCTCCAAGGCCTCAACCCAATCCTCTGCAACTTCTGCATCCTCATCCTGCGCATCTCTTGCATAATCAAGACCATCAAACATTCCCTTCATGACTGTCAACAATGGCCAGTTTGCACCACAGCTTATCTGACTTGGTGGCTTCAAGAGAGATTGTGACTTTCCCTTTGGGATTTCAGGAATGTTATCCCCAAGTTCAGCTGCTAGACGCTCAACAACATCATCTAGCCCATGGACTTTGGCAGTGATATAAGCAAGGGGCAAATGGTCAGCAGCTTCGAGAATCTTAACCCGCTCCTGAACATCACCCAGATAAAGAGCATTGTGGAATTGACCCATAACATTATTCTTCACTTCAGCAATTTTCAGCATTTTGGACAATTTCTCCATATTTCCAGTTATGAGATAAAGGAATGACAGCCTCTCAAAGTTCTTTGTCTTTTGATATGCATATTCCACAATGTCTGCATTACCCTGACGAAGAGCCTCAACCCCCAATCTATACCAGTGGGTTTTGTCATCAATCACATTAGCAGAAGCAACAGCTACTTCTATATTACCACTTTCTAATGCCAGGTTAAAGCGAGTTTTCTCATCCTTCACAAAGTGAAGAGCAACCTCTGGAAAACCCTTCTGCTGAAGATAGGCAATCATTGCTTGGCCACAAAGCTCAGAACGCTTAATCATGCCCATAACCTGGTCAAATCTCTTCCTCAAAAGTGATAGCTTGAAATAATATTCAGTTGCATCTATTGAGATAACACGGTTTTTCCCATCTCGATCTAAACAAAATATTGTGTTCCCTGACACTCTTGTGATGTACAGTGGAACGTCGAGAGTCCGAATGATACCATTGTCCCCATTAGGCAGACAGTATTTTATGTGATTAAGAGTTGTGTAGATAAAAACACCATTGTCATCCCAGGCCCCACTCTTCACACGGATGGTTTCATGAAGTGTGCATCGGTGATCAAGCTTCTTGGTGGCTATAATTATGGAGTGTTTGCTCAACAAAGCAACACTTTCCATGTCATTGGACCAGACAACGTATCTAACAAAAGAAGTTTGAAGCTCCCCAAGCACTAACCTCTGTTGAGGGTCAAACACCAGCACTCTGTCCTCAGCCCTGCAAAGAAGGTTTCCAGTTCCTGCATAAAATATAGCATCAGTCAATGCAGGAAGGGCAACCTTTTTCACAATCTCGTTCTTCAGGTTCTTCACCAGCACTTGGTTGGTGCTCTTCTCCAATACAGCAAATTTGTTCCGAGCAATAAAAATCGCTGAACAGCCAAGACCCCTCTTTGCCTCTTGTACCAAATCACCCCTACCCCAGCCATCTTTGGGTACTATATAGAGTTCATAAGATCCACCATCTATATCAGAAGAAATCAAAATAGCATTTTCGGTTGGACTGTAAGAAAGCGTTCTTGGGCTTTGGTTAAGTATGCTGGCACCGGGTCGACGTATGGGGATGACTTGACTATCCTTCTGGGTTGAAAACTCAAAAACCCGAAGAAAGCGATCCCTTACATAGTATACAAGATCACCACTAACTGCAAAAGCAGGGCGTTCTCTCTCCAACTTAAAGACAATCATTCCACTGTCATGACCAGCAGCCAGAAGGTTCATCTCAGGATGTGCTGTCAAAATCCAAAAGCGGTCATGCTCCCTCCTAAAGGTTTGGAGGCCAGTCCTCTTTGTGGCATCCCAAACACGAATACTTTTGTCCTCTGAGTTTGAGACAATAATATCCTGTCTAGTGTGAAAGAGAACGCAAGAAACATTATTCATGTGTCCTCTTAAGGTATCCACCTCCCAAGCTTTGGTATCTGCACATCACACAAGATGCAGCCCAATTTGCATAAATAGAGACTATATATAAAACTGATTAGGGAACAGCTTATAATAATACTAAGGGTTTATGATTCATGATAAACTCTTCCTAGCATGTTCTCCAATGTCATTGAACACAAATAAAATAAGAATAAAAACGATAGTTTCCTGGTAATAAAATAAAGCCAGGCCTAGACATAGTACTGTCTTTGGTTATATATAAGTTTTTAATGTGGAGCTGCTGATTAATTTCCAATTCACAGTATTGTTCAGTAGAATACTTTACCACTATGTACATTACAAATTATATTCCAAGTTCAAAGTTGACAATACATAGTGCACTCATAGCTATGCATTTCTGCTATACAAAATTATCTTCCAAACAAAATTTTCACATAAATTCTGCAGCTTTTAAAATATTAACTAAACAAAAGGAATTTAAACCGTTCACATCCATACCATTCATACGCCAGATTTTAACTTGGCGATCGTCAGCACCAGACACAATCAAAGGGAGAGATGGATGGAAAGAAGCCCAGTTAACTCCTCGATCATGACCCTCCAAGACGTACTTAACAACAGCATCAACACCGCCAAACAGATCAGAATTCATCTGACTCAAACGCAAGATGTCATCAGAAGGAGAAACGCCTTTCTTCCTCAAAGAGCCAATATCCCAAACACGAACTGTCTGATCCAAAGAAGCAGAAACTACGAGATCTTCCTTGGGATGAAAGGAGGCACACATAACATAATGATTGTGTCCCGTCAGCACAGAGATACAAGTACGTGATTGCCAGTTCCATATCCTTATGGTCTGGTCATCACTAGCACTGACAATCCAAGGAGATTCATGGTGAAACTGGACAGTACGGATGTAGTCAAGGTGTCCTAGAAGAGTAAATAGGCATCGATGCAATTTATAGTTCCATACTTTTATCTTATAGTCATCCCCTGCAAAGCCATCAAATAAGGTGTATCATAAGATGAATGGCAGAAAAATAACAAAAAAAAACTCATAAAAGGGCATTGCACAAGAAACTACAGAAATCAAAACAGCAAGTCACAGAACAAAATCCATCATATAAATGCAAAGACCTGAACAATAAAGTAAAGATAATGCACCATTTATAGTTCTCAGTAACATTAACTATTTAGAATAGGCTAAAACAATGTCCTGGCTATTAAATAGTGTAAGTAGTTCCCCTACATTCCTACAAAGATCAGGTTGATACCCCAAATGACCATTCAATTGGTAAGGGTATGTAAACAGCCCAGCAAACATATATACGGATCCGTTAAGATTCATAAACTTCAAGCCAAGTTGAAGCAGTGACATGCCTGATGCCTCGATAGCAGCCATCATAATTGATCGATGAACAAACTACTGATCCACAAAAATCCTAGCGCGAGAGGATTTAAGCAGGCAGATCCTCGGTCATACAATGCACATCAGTAATCCGATACGAATACAAAAGCAGTGTTAACACTATACAACTATACTTAAACACACCTCATCACTCACACTCATCGATACACACAAACCGAGCAGCTCAAATCCCTATCAAAACTCGTCTACAATCCATCGCGTAAACTCCAATAAATCACACAAATGTAGGTCTATCCAAATAACCAAATCAACAGATCTTTCAAATCCAGAAACAATCACTATCCAATACAATCGAGTCTAAACTAAAATGATCAAAAACGAACAAATTCATCAAACTAAACCAACCAGTGAATCAAATAAGCAAAATCCTCAACTGAAACAAACAATGTACATCAACCTAAACATCAAACAACTCAAATTAAAACTTGCCGACACTCAAAAAGATGATAAGATTACCTCCAGAAACAAAAAGAGGCTGAGTTTTATGAAAATCGACGCCTCGAACCGGACCATCGTGTTCGTCGAATCGATCAATGAGAGTACCCATACGATAATCCCACAATTGGATCACACCGCTGTGTAAACTCGCCAAGATCCATGGACGTTTCGGGTGAAAACTCAGTCCCTTCACTCGATTACTCTTCGTTTCGAATTTCGTCAACATTGTTCTTCAATTCAAATTTTCCAGAAGAACAGCGATCAATTCATAAAATTGCAGAAGTGATCAAAAAAGGATTGGTGAATTCAGATCGAAATTGAAAGAATTAAAGGATGAAATTGAAATTGAAACCCTAGAATTGATTGAGAAAAAGGAGAATGTGAGATTGAGCTTGAAAACTCAGATCTAATGCAAAAATGGCGAAAAATGGAAGGTGATTTAGGAGGAATTCGACATTGTAGTGAGAGAAAGTGGGACGAAGAGAGAGAAAGAGGAAGGAGGTTATAGATCTGGCTTTGAACCTTCTAACAGCCGATCTCAGTTTTGGCTATGAGTCTTGAGTCTGGATGCGCGGGGTATGTAATTGTTTGTTATGGGGACGTTTTCGGATTCTTCTATCGAGTTGTACCATGCGCTTTTGAAATTAACTAGATTTAATCTCGTATGAATTGGTAATGTACAAGTTTTTTCTTGCTAATCTTAAAAATTATTGTTGGTCACGATGTTAATATTAAAATGAAAATTTTGAGACGATGAAAGTAGATGGCGATTTAGAAAAAATTATGGGTAGGAAAATGCCAATGGTTATTGTTTTTTTGAAAAAGTTAATGGAAATAGAAGAATAAGGGACACGTGACATCGTGATGTGTAAAATTCATAGTTTTGAAGGCAGATGTGTAAGGCATTTGATTGAATAATTCGATTTTTGAGATTGGTGGAAAGCTTACATATTACTCCGTAATATTCATCTTTTTCACGAGACGTCACTCAAAAGATGAAAGAAGTTAATGCCTCATGCTAAGTCAATAGAGTTTAGAATTAGTTATATATGAACCTTGACATAGTTTGTTATCTACTTGCCATGTCTTACCATAATTTTCAAACGACTTAAGCATGGCTCGAGCCCATATATATGTCATGGCATGCTTGCGTGAATATGTCATGTCATGCCATGCTTACGTGAATATGTCATGTCATGCCAAATTTTATTAATTTTGTCATTTCGTGCTTGACAACACAGCCTACAATATCGTGCACACAACATATCGTATTGACCTCATGTTATGGTTAATTCTTTTGTTTCATTGCCATCCATTTCCTAGAGTATTATTGTCTCCCAAGGATTAGAGTAGGTTGCGATAGTGTAACGCTTTAAGGTGTGAGCAAAGCTCACGCAATGTTTTATTGTTGTATGGAGTATTAAGTAGTGTTACTTCTGTAAACACGGATTTTAAATCTGCAAAATATAGATTCAAAATAGATGAAAACAAAACGTTAATTTTATAAATTTGATATTTTCGAGTACAATCTCTAATTTGCTTCTTTGATTCGATCTCCACTTTAGCTTTGACTTGTTTCACAAGCGGACTTGATTCTTGATCGAGGGCCGTTGAGGCTTGATCACGATCGAAGATAGTTGATGTAGAACTTTGACCTGGGTTTTGATTGAGGGCCGATTGATGAGGCGTGATCTCAATCTTGATTGCTGATGTAAACCTTTGACTTGAATTCTTGATTGAGGGCCGACGAGGCTTGATATCAATTAATGACTATTTGATGTAGAGATTGAACTGCACGGACTTGTGATGCGCTTGATGTTTTGATGTTCTTCCTTTCTCTATTGAGGGCCGTCGAGGCTTGATCTCTTCCACGAGTGATCTTCTAGAGTAGAACGACACGTCGAATGCTTGTTGTTCTTCTTCTAGGTTTTGAGATGTTTTCTCTGGAAAGGTTTAGAGTATTTGAGAGGTTTTCTTTGTATTTTGATTCTCCTTGTTTCCTCCCCTCTCCAAATGATGTAGAGAGTGCTCTATTTATAGAGTGAGGACACCCTGGGGTTAGGGTTTGATGTACATTGGATGATGGGCTTGACAATAATATAACACTAATAAAAATGGGCTAATTTGAGTTATTTCACCCAAAATAATTAATTTCTAATTAAAAGTAAAATAAACTTGAGTCAACACTTTGATTTTTGACCCGTATAATATCCAATGTGGTACTTATATAAAATTTACGTGCCTACAACTTTCAAACCATAAGTAATAGCTTTCACCAAGCTAAGCGCAAAAAAAATAAATGAAAAACCACAAGAATATTTAGCTCAACATCTTCACTATCTTACAGTAGCAACTCAATTGCTACTCATTACATACTAACTCGAGCCAATAATTGATCTCCTTAACAAACTAAGTTCCTACCGAGTAGCAATTATTTCCCCTAAGGTTGCCATGATCAAAACCTTACAAGGTCAACAATTATTACTTTGTTAGAGGTATGAGATATTGGAAAAAATATATGCACACATATATTTTTCGATATCTCATACCTCTAACATACTTCCATTTTTTTTTTCTAACAATGTTTATGGGTACACACTAGACAATTACTTCGTATTACTTTTCGTCGCCATCTATTTCTTCCATCTTTCAATTGCAATAGTGTGATTTTCTCATTTAGCACCCATAATTTTAATTATATTTAATTCAATCTTTTTAAGTAAACATATATTGAAATAAACCGAACAAAATTTTCCATGACTCTGATTTATCTTACATATAATCATTAAAGATGATATTTTAAAATAAAATTAAAAAAAAAAAGCATTAAAAGTTTTTGATACGTAAGAACAATTTTTGAGAACAAGAAAACGAAGAACACAAAATTTTCCAAAATCGAAAAGAACATAACTAGCGTCATGGTCCAGACCAAAATAAGAATATGGGCCTTACGATGAAGTCCATTAAGCGAGAAATGGCCCATATTATACAGTGCGGTGGTGAAGTAAGTCCAAGTACTTTGTAGTGAAATTTACCAAATTTCTACTGTATTTACTTTTCATAGTCAAATAGTCAATGTTTGAATTTTTTTTGAGATTTCATATTAGGATTTTCAAGGAATTGAGCTGGGCCCAGAAGAAGGCATGCACTTGACTTCAAAAGTGGAAAAAGTTTTGAGAAAATACAAGTTTCTCAACATGAGAAACACCTCATGTTTCTCAAAGGGGTAAATTCGATATTTTCAATTAATAAGTTGGGTTAGTGTTGTAAATTTGTCTAAAAAAATCTGTATTTTCTAGCAAATTAAGAGTTTTCATTGAAGAACCACAGTCAAACGATAATGGAGAAGCAAGACTTCAATGGGGAATCGAACAAGGAGAAGCTAGTCTTCAATGGAGGTGGACGTAACCCTTATTATCACTACAAGAAAACAGATCAAAGAGGGCGACATAAATCAATCAAGGAGGGTGAGTTGTACTTTGCCTTGTTAGTTTCTATCAAGGAGCGCGAAATTATAATCGCTCTTTTATTACAGAGCAAAGAGGGCGAATTTTACTTTCGTCTTTCTATTTCAAAGCAAAGAGGACGAATTTAATTTTCTTCTCTATTCCAATAGCAAAGAGGACGAATTCCATTTTCGCCCTCATTGGTCAATAAACATTGTAATAAAATAAAACAAAGGTAAAACATTAACCGTTTTCTCTATCAAAACAAAATAAAAAATTAAACGTTTTCTCTCTCTTCACCAGCAAAAATGTATGAACCCTAATTTTTTTTTTCCTACTCGAATTCTTCGTTCTGATTCTCACAAATTGCTACTCTAATTCTTCGCTCCAAATAGACGTTCAGATTTCACACATTGTTGCTCCAAATCATTGCTCGAAGTCGGTCAAATCGCAAGTCGTTCAGGTATCGATTTTGGTAAATTTTCGCAATTCTACTAATTTTGGCTCAAAATTATGTGATTAAGCTTTTGATTTTGTAAGAATTTGTTGATTCTCGAAATCCTTGCTCTAAATTTGTTGATTTTTTTGTCAATTTGTTGCTGCATTGTTAGTATTGCTATATATATCTGCAAGTTGCTCGAATCTCACCTAAATCGAAAGTTTCAGGTATTGTCTCATTGCATGTTACATTTGAGATGTTTTTGTTCAATTCTTAATTGCATGTATGTGCGTAAGGAGAAGCAAGTCAGGATTATTCGTATTTTATCAGCTGTTTATCGAATCAATTGCTTAATTATATGAGCTATTGATTACTGTGAATTGTGATAATTGTAATTTGTTTTGGTTTGTTTGTATGAGCTATCGATTCGCTGTTCGACTATTGATTACTGTGAAGCAAGTTAGGAATGAATGCAGTTTATGTTATGCTATTGATGATTGATCTGGTTGAATTTGTATATGTATTTGGCTAATGATTTAAGAATGAATGGCTGAAATTTCTGTTTTCCTAATTAATCTTATACTTCATACTTTAAAGTAAGAGATCTGGTTGAATTTGTATATGTATTTGAAATTAGACAAACACTTGCTATTGAAATTCTAGCTGTTCAGACAATAGACAATTTGTAATAGTTGCTGTCGCTGGCTACTGTTTTTTGGGAGCTATATATAGAGTGAGAGGGTGGGGGTGGAGGTTTGGCTTCTACTTGAATGCAGTACTCTCTGATTTCTTTTCGACAAAAGCTTCAGACCTTTTGCTTGAGCTTAAATTGGACTTCAGTTTGTAAGTGGTTGAATTGCTGCATGTTGCTATCAAGTTAGGTGATAATAATTTCTGCATGATAATTATTTCTAACTATCAAGTTAGGTAATATTTTAGCTTGCTGCATGTTGCTATAAAAGTATTTTCAGTGACAGATGTTTGCTTTTGTAGGTGATTAGTTTCTGTCAATTTGTATTTCTGCTTCATTAGACTATTGGTCAACTTATATATGTTGCTATAATGTTGGATTTTATTCCACCCATCCCTTGTGTCAACTTATATATTGTTTTATGTAGTATAGAATGGATAATGGTAGGAGTTGGATGCATGTTCAAGGGTTGAAAGGTAGGCTTCAACCAAGTTACCGAAATGGTGTTAAATACTTTCTTGATTTTGCTTTCAAGGACACTAACCCTAATTCTGGGGATAAGAAGAGGTGTCCTTGTTTGAATTGTCGAAATTACTTTGATCATGACTGGGCAACAATGCGTGTTAATCTCCTTCGAGTGGGAATAGATCCTGATTAAAATCCATGGGTACTCCATGGAGAGGAACAATCCTTTGACATCGATTGAGTTATATGATGAAGATCCTCTTGTATCAGAAGAGATGGCTTCTTTGGTACATGATGCGACAAATGTAGTGCCGGAGAAGCATTTGCATGATGGGGATGGAGATTATTCTGAGATTCCCGATCAATTTTATAGATTGATGAAAGATGCAGAAGAAGAGCTATTTTCGGGTTGTAAAACATTTTCAAGGCTTTAATTCATTGTAACTCTCTTACACCTTAAGGTTAGTGGGGGTTGGAGCGAGAAATCATTTAGTGAGCTCCTTAGTGCATTACAAAAGGCCTTTAATTATGATCCAAACTTTCCAAAAAGCTCTTATGAAGCCAAGAAGTACACAAAAGACCTTGGGTTGAATTTTGTGAAGATTCATGCTTGTGTCAATCATTGCATACTTTATAGAAATAGTATGAAAAATGCTGATTCATGCCCTATTTGTAAGGAGTCAAGATGGAAGGAAGGTAGCGGTGAATTTGATGATAGTGTTACCTTCTCGGAATCTTAAGGGGCCTCACAAAGAATGCCTAAAGTACCTCGTATGGTTCTTCGCCATTTTCCTTTAGTGCCAAGGCTTCAAAGGATTTTCATGTCATCGAAAATTGCAAAGCACATGCGATGGCATAAAGAGAGGCAGCAACTTGATGACAACATATTAAGGCACCCATCCGATTCAATGGCATGGAAGAAGCTTGATGAATCATTTCCGGAGTTTGCAATCGATCCACGTAATGTGAGATTAAGTCTTTCGACTGATGGTTTCAATCCCGGTGGACATTTTGGCGCTAATTACAGCATTTGGCCAGTGTTTTTGGTGCCATACAATCTTCCACCATGGATGTGCATGACAAGTCCATACATCATGTTGTCATTCCTAATTCCCGGTCCCAAGTCTCCTGAAATGGATATTGATGTGTTCTGAGAACCATTTATTGATGAACTTCAAGAATTATGGGAAGTTGGGGTGAAAACTTATGATTCACATAGTCACCAAAACTTTACAATGAAGGCAGCCCTATTGTGGACAATGAGTGATTTTCCAGCTTATGGAAATTTGTGTGGTTGGAGTACTTGTGGTAAACTTGCTTGTCCGTCATGTCACAAAGATACCTCACACAAGAGATTGAAGCATGGAAAGAAAGAATTCTTTGATGCTACTCGTAGATTCTTGGATCCTGATCATAGATGGAGAATGGATTGAAAATCTTTCAATGGAGAAACAAAAAGACGACCACCTCCTGTACCTTTGTCGGGGGGATGAGATAGTAGAAGCATTTGATGGTGTTCCGAATGTGATATTTGGGAAGAAGAGAAATAGAACCAAAGGATACTTTTTTGACCAATGGAAGAAGTTTAGTACCTTCTTTAGACTCCCTTATTGGAGTAAGCTTTTGATAAGGCATAACTTAGATGTGATGCATATTGAAAAAAATACTTGTGATAGTATATTAGGAACTGTACTTGATATTCCTAATAAGACAAAGGACACTTTGAAATTACGAAAGGATTTGTTGAAGATGAACATGCATGAGAAATTGAGGCCTATCAAGATAGGTGATAAATATGCCATTCCTAGAGCTCCTTATCAATTGACATCGCTTGAGAGGCGTAGAGTATCGGAGTGGTTGTCCAAGGTTAAAGTGCCAGATGGTGACTCTTCTAACATAGCTCGATGTGCAAGTTTAGAAGATGGAAAAATCTCGAACATGAAGAGCCATGATTGTCATGTTTTTATGCAAGATTTGCTTACACCGGCATTTCAAGGCATTTTCTGATCATTAGTGTGCTGTAAAAGGTTCATATCCCTAAAAATTTAAATATCCTTGTAGTTAAAGTATGAATTGGGTGAAGGTTCACACATTCGCAAAGCAATAAAGATTCAATGCTCAACCCTTTATAGGCTTTGGAGAGAAAGGTTGAAGGCTGACTATTTTTCAAATCGCAAATCTTTATTAGAGGCGGAGCGTGCTTGCCCACCTTCAATAAAACTTGACCAATGGAAGTGGCTTTTTTATGACTATTGGAGCTCTCCTAAACAAAAGGTAAGTAATGGGAATGCTCTTGTAATCAAAATTCTGCAATTGGCATTTCTTCCCCTTTACTAATCCTATGTGCTATTTTGTAACCTTTAGGAAAGGAGTGAGAAGAATCGGGCAAATGCTCTTGCAAAGAAGATTAAGTCGGCATGTGGTGTGAAATCAATAGCTCGCATAATTTATGAATTGGTGAGCTTCATAATCTGTAGTTATGGACTTCTTTTGACTAATTCTGTTTAGACATTTAAATGCTTGAACTTGAAGGTTACTTAGTCTCAATTTCTGATGTCTGATGGCTTTGCTTTTTGGTCAGAATTTTTTTTTATTATTCATGCTGATATAAGTTGACTGAATTACCAAACAACGAGTTAAAGATTATGCTACATATGTATCACTCTAACCTTTAATGAGGTTCTGCCTAGTCTTGCTGAAATAAGGAATTGATCTTGCTGAAATTAATAAGTGTATGTGATTTGATAGGAACTTGAGGCACAAGCTTGTGAAAATGAGAATGAGGACATTGAAATTAATGAGGATCCCATGTATTTGAAGTTATGGTAGAAGTCAAAGAGGTACATTGAATATTTATCTAATGCATGAACACTTTGTTTTTCTTTAATTTTAAAATTCTGATTTTGTTTTTTCTTGTAACCATTTTTAGGCACAAAAATGGGAAGTTTGACGATGAGGCCGAGGAGAAGTTCAAGGAATTAAGGGAGTTGCATGAGAATGAAATTGGTGAAAAGGGGGTTGATAATCTTACTCTTGAAGAAGCTTATGTGAAGGTTCTTGGACATTGTTCAGGTTATGCCCGAGGTTTAGGCAAAGGGCACCCGGTGTTGTCTAAAGATGGAAAGATAGGAAGAGCTGAGCTAGAACATAATTTCGAACAACTACAAAATGAAAATAATATGACGCGGCTGAGTTGGAAGCGTCTAAGAAGAAACAAGAAGACCTAGAACAAAAGCTTCGGTTAGTCATGGAGAGGATGGCCTTGATGTTTGATAGAGGTAATATTTTCTTAATTTAGTACAGAATTTTCTCTCCATTTGCACTTTTTTTTTTTTTTTTAAAAGTTAGATATTGCTGTTGTGAGTGACTGTAGAGGGTAGCTGTTGTTTCATGTTGCTGCCGCTGTTATTTCATGTTGTTGCTGCTGTTATTCTGGTGCTCCCCTGTAACTGCTGTTCTGTTCGTCCAAAAATCATCAACCTGAAGTTGTTTTTAGCTCATAGTCCCTTCATGAAGGTTGTAGATCTCAAAAAGTTATTCAATCTAGGCTCAAGAATTTCTCGATTTGGAGTGTGTGCTAGGAGTTATGCCTTCTGGAATTTACTGGTCTGCTGCCTTGGTTCTATTGCGGCGGGGCTGATATTGTACATTTGATGCCTATGTGATGTTTTGTTGAGTTGGCTGGGGTGCTAAAATGAATGCTTGGGCGTCTCTTATCTATTTTGTTTATTTTGTTAAAATGTGGTCAATTTTGATTAATGACTATTTGGATAATGACTATCATTTTTAAAACATGCTGGCAGGAAGGAAGAAATCTGGAGAAGGGTACAAGATCAAGGAAGTAAGATGCTGGTAGAAGGAACATAGAAAATCTAAGAAATTGCATACATTATTAAATTTTAGTACTCTTTGGCTTAGTTATATTTGCTATTTAGGAAAACTTGGTTAATACTTTTGTATATATAATGACAAATTAGAATTTATGCCTATTAACACCTTTTTTCTTCCTAAATGTAATCCCTCCTAGAATTTTTTTTTTTTTAAAAACTAAAAATTGAACAAAGAGGGCGACTTTGATTTTTCCCTTTAAAATTTGATTAAACAGGGCGAATTTTGAGCAAGGAGGGCGATATGAATTGACTTGTTTGAGTTGTTTATAGAGGGCAAAAAAACTTATCGTCTGGCTTGATTCAATCAAAGAGGGCGAAAAATTTGTCTTCTTTGATTTTGAACAAAGAGGGCGAAATTTTTTGCCTTCTTTGATATTTAACGAAGAGGGCGAAAGATTGTAGTTGCCCTTTGAAGCTAATAGGGCGACTTGGGGGCGATTTTAAAATCGCCCTCTTTGCCTAATAGGGCGAAATTTGAATCTAAGAGGGCGATTTAAATCGTCCTCTTTGATATAATATCTTGTAGTGCATTAAGGGTTAACCATATCATTCTTTTCACCATTTTTGGTTAGGGTTTTCGTTTAGTTCGGCGGCTAATATGGTAGTGAAAGTGGTGTTCACGATCTACTACAATGGAGGAGCAGTAAAACAAGAAGAAAAGGGAGTATGAAGAAGTTGGAGGATGAAGAAGATGGAGGAGGAGGAAGAAGTTAGAGGAGGAAGAAGAGGGAGTACAAAGAAGAAGAAGAAAAGGACAAAAAAAAAAATTACCAAAAAAAATTAAAAAAATCATGAACTTCCCCTTATTTACACAAATGCCATTTTGAGAAACATCTCATGTTTCTCATGTTGAGAAATCGGAGCTCCCTCAAAAGTTTTATAGTCATTTCAACAATTTACATTTTACCATTAACTTTTTTTGGTTGGAAAAAAGTGGGATCATGATTACTAGATTATAAGATTGGAAAAAACAAAAAAAAAATAAAATAAAATAAAAAAAAAAAGAAGTTTTTTTTTGTTTCTTCACTAATAAAGCTCTTTGGTGAAATTATCTTGAATCAAAATTTTAAAAAGTTATAATGCTAATTTCACAATACGATATTGTAAGATAATGTCATAATATTTACATTTTACTTTTGTAACGGTAATTTGGTGACCTGATGTAATTCAATGTAAGTAATTCTTTTCTAGTTGTGAGCCAATAAGGGAAGTAACTTTCTTTATAAATTTAAGCAATTGTTCAACTTGATTATCTTTATTTATTTTCAAGCTCGTGAATGATTATCGTGGGTTGAATACCATTAATTGCTTTATTATCTTTACACAACTATTTTTTATTTTTTTTTTCTTTGAAAGGACACAACTATGTTTTTAATTACTACTATTAACTGACAATCATTGTTGACATGTATGTGATTACTTGTATGTTAGCAAAATCCTTACTAGAAACCATTTGTTAATCCCAAAAACATACTACTAAGACACTTTGGACTCCATGAGATAAAGAGTCATTACCTTGTTAGCATTTTCACATGAACAATGTACATTGAACCCTTATCTACTTTCACTTACTCCAGACCATATTCTTCTTGGATGTTTCAATTTAATTGTCTAATTTCCTTTCAAGGAAACTTTTTCCTAATCTTTCTATCTTAAATTGAATCCCACATTTATCCACCCGTCCTTTTCTCTCTATTTTTTCACTTACATACGAGTAAATCATACGTAAATACATCTAAAACAAAGTAAATCGAGACGAAAATAACATTTACCAGTGACAATCACATAAAGTTTTATTATCATCCAATACTCCGTTGTTTGCTTTCACATTCACGCCTTTTCTTTGAAAGCAAAAACTTAAAAAAAAAAAAAACAAAAACTTATAAAAAAAAAAAAAAAGAAAAAAAAGTATAAAAAAAAAAGTTGCTTTATTCGTCAGCAATAAAATCACCTTAACTGGTTCCCACCTACGATTAGTACCGTACTCCACCAAACTCCTCCCCCAAATCAATTCAAGTCCACCCCAAATTCCTCCTTCCTCTTTATTTTCCAACTTGCATTGCATGCTTCACATCTTCTTCTACCATTTTATTAATTTCCATGTTATACCCTTTCTTTTTATTTTTCTTTGAAATACTAGTATAATTTTTTGTCTCATTCACATATCTTTTTCTTATAAATTACAAGTACAACTACATACTCTTCTTACATTCCATTCTCACCTTCCACACAAAACATACACCCATGGAATTCCACAATAACCCCTCTCTCCCTCCACACCCCACCCTAATCGCCATCGGCCCCGGCCCCTCCTCGGGTTCCAACCACGATCATCGATGTTTCCCCGTCGTGATCCGATCAATATCATCCATCTTAACTAGGTTTCATGCAGGCTATTTTAGGATAACATTATCCCTAGGAAGCCAAGCGTTACTATGGAAAAATCTAATTGAACCTACTAGTCATAATACTATTAATCCATTAATACAACATATTTTTCATAGATTTCACCCTATTACATTTGTGTCTTTATGGGCATTTTCTCTTGCTATTCTTGTTCTTCTCTCTTTGATTTATCTCTTTCGTTGTATCTTTCACTTTAACATGGTGAAGGCCGAGTTCCTTCACCATGTTGGTGTAAATTACCTCTTTGCCCCTTGGATTTCTTGGCTCTTACTTCTTCAGTGTTCGCCGTGGGTGGACCAAAAGACCGGCGTTTACTTAAGCCTTTGGTGGACTCTTGTTATTCCGGTGGTTGCTCTTGATCTCAAGATTTATGGCCAATGGTTCACTACCAAAGGAACAAAGTATGAACTAACATATACAACAAATCAACAAAATATATTTAAATTGGAGTGTCTCACTTTTGTGTGTCTAACTTGTGTCATTGTGTCCCACGCACCCATTTTTATTGTTTTTGTCTCGCTTCTATGTAAACTAATTTGAAACAGAGGAAGTAGTTGTCACTCTTATAAATTTACTCATATACAGTATGTTAAAATATAAATTAATAAATAAAAATAAGTGACACATATTGTCATAGCAGTATAGCACACAAGAGTGAAATGGACAAAATATGAGTTCACCTAAAAGTTCTTAAAACTACGTTTCAAAAGTTGAATTTGTAACTTATTTCGTAAATGATTTCATGTATTAATACAGGTACAACTTGACTGCAGTGGCAAACCCAGCGAGTCAAATGAGTGTGATAGGAAACCTAGTAGGGTCCACAGCGGCGGCACAAATGGGGTGGAATGAGACAGCAATGGTACTATTCTCCCTAGGAATGGTACATTACTTAGTGCTCTTTGTGACTCTCTATCAAAGATTGTCCGGGAGCGATAAGCTCCCGGCAATGCTTAGACCGGTGTTCTTCCTATTCTTCGCGGCGCCGGGGGTGGCAAGCTTGGCGTGGGGCTCTATATCTGGAAAGTTCGATACAACTGCGAAGATGCTATTTTTTTCTATCTGTCTTCCTCTTCATGTCTTTGGTAAGAATTTGCGGCCTATGGTTTTCAAAGTAGGGGTCAATTAAATTGACCATTTTCTTTATAACTTTGTTTATTTTTCAAAAATAAAAAAAAAACCCTGGCTTGGCGTTTTTGATTGCGTAGGTTCCAGTCCTTTTCTGCATGGTTTAGAATCTCTAGCTAGATCTTTTTATTATTAGGGTGTATTATTATTAATTTTTTAGTTCGTAGCTAATTAGCTATATACCTAGATACTAACAATAAATAAATAAATAAATAAAAAACGGTCCATGTTTTCTAGAAATAAATTAGTACTCCATCATTTTCAGAAGAAAAATACAAGCTGTAATTTTCAGTCAATTAATTGAATATTATGCGTTTGTGCCACATTTTAATTTAATAAAATTATTATTGTGGTGTTAAAACTTAGTACTTTCAGATTCGTGAACAGAGAAATAATTACGAAGTAATTCATCAGACTAAAATACCTAATTTTATGATACGCGACTCTACTTTATTTCTTTCAACACTCTCCTTCATCTTAAGTTTTGACATAAACTCTTTGTCGTAAGACTCGTGGGAAATGGTCTAAAAGATAGATGTAGTATATACAAAGTATGAAAGTAGTTTAAGTTCTTTTTAACTCAAGTACATAATCTCTAATTGGTTTTTGCTATCAAAATTCAAAAATCATTATAAATGACGATGATTTTATAATTAATACTTTGCTTCTAGATATATATATGGGAGAAATTTTTGGTCGTCCGTTATAGTAAAAGATAGAGAGGAAAGTATACTAGATTATGAGCAAAACACCTAAAAAAAACAGGCTTTTACGAGTAATGGCTGATTACTTTAACTACGTATGTCATTAATTACATTAGTATTTAATTAATTTGCAGCATATAACATAGATTTATGTGATCACTGCAGCAAAATTGGGAAGATGGTACGGTCCTGCTAACCTGACAAGGTTTTGTCGTCAAGTAAAACTCTACTAGTCTTATTTTTTATTCCATACTTTCTCCGTTCCTTTTTAGATGACACAATTTGACTTTTACACTATCCACAAACAACACTTTGACTAGCTTTTGTGATTTGTAGCTACGATACAATATAATCATGTGCGATCTTGTTTGAATCGTCTTAATGTATATTTTATTAATATTCATTTTTTTATAATTTTACAATGTTGATAATGGGAGATATAAATCGTTAAAATTGTGCGTTGGCAAACGTGATAAAAGAAACGTGTCATCTAATTAGGAACGGACGAAGTATTAAACTACAAGTATGTTTTTAAAACGTTTAATTAATTATCCTTATTTCTTCATTATTTATAATTGATTTAATTAATATTTGCTCTAAAACCATGTCTGTCTAGCTCTTAACGGATGGAGTATATGTTGTATCATCACCAACAACAACTATTTGTAAACTTTTGTTGCGGAGATATGTAATCTTCATCATACAACTAATCGCAACTTGCAAGTGTAAAATTTTATCTTTTCGCATAAAAAAAAAAAAAAAAAAAAAAAAAAAAACTCACATATTCTGTGAATTTGAGACTACGAGGGGTTGTAATATAATGTTACAACTAAGTGGAGGATGAACACTTTCATTGAGTAAACAAAATTTTTCATAAAACTTGTTTTGGTTATATAATTATAAATATTCCTTTTAAGACAGATTGATCATCATAAGTAACCATTTGTAGTAGTAGTAGTAGTTCACCGAGTACATTTAAAGATTGATCATCATAAGCTAGTTTTAATTTAGTATTGAAGTTTTTAACTCCTGAAGGAGCATTTTTAAAGTATAAGTATGATTATGTATGTCCATGCTGAAGCCCGAAGGTTTTGTTTAGGTAAATTTAGCTTTAGAATGAAAAAATGTTACCTTTTTTAGGAGTATTTTCTAGAAGGTTATATTTTCCTCATTAGAATGGGCATGCCCGAGGAATATTTATTCCTCACGAGAGGTAATTATGTACTCGAGAAAAAGTTAGGAAAGGGTCGAATTGAGCCTCACATATGGAATCAAAACCTTTACCAATTCCGATCCCTAGTCTTCCTCACTAGATTGTCCCGTCTTATTCTTAGGTAGACTGGTCTAATTCGAGATCGATACAACAAACTATGGCATAAAAGACTTAAAATTACCGATTCAACCTATAGCTAATAAGTTGACCGAATGTTTGAATAGTATTTTACATATATAAATGCATCTTAACATCTCATGACTCTATGTAG